CGCTTGGCGCCAGCAGTTTCTGGAGGCCTCTGAGATCCCCCGCTGGGGAGAGCTGTCTAGGGCTGGTGTAGCTATCTTTGATCTTGACTTTGATGCTATTCTTGCTGCCATGTATGCTGTGTCTGGTAGTGATGAGGGTGACTGTTACCGGTGTTTCCCGCCCGATCCGGGCATTGAGTCTGCTGCTCTAGGTACTGGTGCGGCTGCTGCCCTAGGTGCTTGCGACGCTGCTGCTCTAGGTGCTAGTGTGTCTGCGTCCTCAGGTACTGGTGAGTCTGCGCTCTCAGGTACTACGTCGGCTTCGGCCTCCCTCACCTTCACCCTTGACTCTGGGGCGTCTCGCTCCTTCTTTCGGGACCGCACCACTCTCACGCCGCTTAGTCGGCCGGTTGCGGTGTCCCTGGCTGACCCCTCTGGGGGTCCTGTCCTGTCTCGTTTCTCCACAGTCCTCCCGTGTCCGGCGGCTCCCTCTGGCACCCTGACTGGTCTCTACCTCCCCTCGTTCTCTACGAACCTGGTGAGTGGTGCTGACCTACAGGATGGGGGTGTCCACCAGTTCACTCCTGCTCGTCAGCGGGTGACACACTGCACAGAGGCTAGCACAGGTCGCCACCTAGCTACGTTTACACGTCAGCCAGGGTCGAGCCTGTACACACTGACCACTGCTTCTCCTCCCGGTGCTGAGTCTGGTAGAGTCCCTTCGTCTGGTCAGGTGTTTGCTGTAGCGTCCAGGTCTGGTCCTGAGTCTGCCCCCTGTTCGTGTCGCCGTCTGTCTCACGAGACTCTCCTCTGGCACCACCGCCTTGGCCACCCCTCTCTGCTTCGGCTCAGAGGCATGGCCTCCCGTCTTCTTGTGTCTGGTCTCCCCCGGTCCCTCCCTCCCCTTCCTCAGGGCCCTGGCCCTGCCTGTGTCCCCTGCGTCGAGGGGCGCCAGCGTGCTGCCCCTCACTCCTCCCAGTTTCCTCCGACAGAGGCTCCGTTGCAGACGCTTCACATGGTTGTGTGGGGCCCTGCCCGCGTCCGTGGACTCGGTCACGAGTGCTACTTCCTGTTGTTGGTTGACGACTACTCGCGTTACACCACAGTCTTCCCCTTGCGCAGCAAGGGTGATGTCACTGAGGTGCTGATCGACTGGATCCGCGCAGCTCGTCTCCAGCTCAGGCAGAGCTTTGGCTCGGACTTTCCTGTGTTGCGTCTGCACTCGGACAGAGGCGGAGAGTTCTCCTCTGGCCTTCTGCGTGCCTTCTGTCGTGCGCGAGGCATCCGCCAGACCTTCACGCTTCCGGACTCACCGCAGCAAAATGGGATTGCAGAGCGCCGCATTGGCATGGTCATGGACGTCGCTCGTACGTCTATGATGCATGCGGCTGCCCCCCATTTTCTGTGGCCGTTTGCGGTCAGGTACGCGGCGCATCAGATCAACCTCCACCCCAGGGTCTCTAGGCCGGAGACCTCCCCAGCCCTTCTGTGGACGGGGAAGGTTGGCGATGCGTCGGCGTTCCGGGTCTGGGGATCTCGGGCGTTTGTCCGCGACTTGTCTGCGGACAAGCTGTCCCCTCGCGCTGCTCCCTGCGTCTTCCTGGGGTTCCCCCCCGACGCCCCTGGGTGGCAGTTCTACCACCCCACCTCTCGACGTGTTCTGTCCTCCCAGGACGTCACGTTCGACGAGTCGGTACCCTGCTACCGCCTCTTCCCCTACCGCACTCCGTCCCTCCCCCCGCCCCCGCTCTTCTTGGTACCAGGTCCCCCCCCGGTAGACCCCCTCCCCCCTCAGGGTCCTGCCCCTTCAGGTGTGTCCCAGGTAGACGCGGTCGAGCCTGTCGAGGTCACTGGTGACTCTGGTGCTGCTGCGGGAGCTGAGCCTGGGGGTGCTGAGACTGGAGGTGCTACGCCTGCGGGTACTGAGCCTGGGGGTGCGGAGTCTGGAGGTGCTGAGCCTGGGGGTGCTGAGCCTGGGGTTGCTGAGCCTGGGGGTGCTGAGCCTGGAGGTGCTGAGCCTGGGGGTACTGGGCCGGGGGGTACTGAGCCTGGGGGTGCTGAGCCTGGAGGTGCTGAGACTGGGGGTGCTCCGCCTGGAGGTGCTACGTCTCGCCGAGAGCCACTCTCCCCTCAGGAGCTACGTGAGTGGTTTGCCAGGCGCTGGAGGCGTGCTGCTGGTGCTGGAGGTTCTTCGACTGCAGAGGGTACTGCTGCCAAGCGTCCCGGCGGTGCTCGTACTGTGGGTGCTGGAGCTGCTGGGTCTGAGGGTTCTCCTGGAGCTGGTGCTGCTGAGGGTGTTGACGCTGAGACTGCCGCTGGAGGTCCGACTGGTGGTGCTCCTCGTGGTGCTGCTGGAGGTTCTGGAGCTACTAGAGGTGCTGCTGGAGCGGGTACTCCTTCTGGGGGTACTGGTGCTGTCCCTGCTGTTTCTGGCGTCGCCGCGCGGCCCCGGCCGTACTTCGTTCCGCTCCTGCAGCAGGTTCTTGGTCTTACACCTTCTCCTGGTCCTCCTCCTCCTCCCTTAGAGGGTCCACATCCTGTCTCGTCACAGTCACAGCTACAGCCTGCCTCACCTTTGCCTGCTCCTTCTCCTTACGCTGGTCCGACTGGAGGTCTTACTGAGCGTCGTGAGCCTGCGTCTCGTCCTGCGTCCCCTGTTCGTACTGCGCGCACTAGTGGTCGTGGTTCGCGTCAGCGTCCTCCTCCTGTCCCTGGCACGCACCGGATGTCTCTGCGTCCGTCTACTGCTCCTCTGCGTGCCCCTTTGCCTTCTCCTCCTGCTTCCTCTCTTCCTGCTCTTGCCGACCCGGAGTCGGACTCTCTTCGTGCTGCCAGTCCTACTGTCACGCGTCTTCTTGCTACTGCTGTCACTGACCCTTCTTTCGAGTCTTCTGCTGCGTCTGCCCTTGTCACTGAGCTCGTCGACTTTGCTGCGCGCTGTCGTCTAGACTACGCTGCTAGTCTTGTCGCTGAGTCTGAGTCTGCCTGTCCTCCGTCCGTCGGGGGTGAGTGTGCCCTTGGCACGGACGTCCTTGAGGACAGGCAGGAGGAGTTCGAGTGTCTGGCCGCCGCTTCACCTCATCTTGCGTCTGTACTGCTAGCCCCTGAGGGAGACCCGGATGCATTAGACATCCCGACTCCGCGCTCTTACGCGGAGGCGATAGAGGGTCCCTACTCCTCTCAGTGGCAGGCAGCTATGGATGCAGAGATGGCTTCTTGGAAGTCCACAGGCACCTACGTCGACGCTGTTCCCCCTCCTGGGGCGAACATCGTCAGTGGCATGTGGATTTTCAGGGTGAAGCGGCCGCCGGGTTCTCCGCCTGTCTTCAAGGCGCGTTACGTGGCTCGTGGCTTCAGTCAGCGGCAGGGGGTTGACTACTTTCAGACCTTCTCCCCCACCCCGAAGATGACCACTCTTCGGGTACTGCTGCACGTTGCTGCTCACCGTGACTACGAGCTGCACTCTCTCGACTTCAGCACAGCTTTCTTGCAGGGCAGCCTGCACGAGGAGATCTGGCTGCGTCGCCCACCTGGCTTCACTGGGTCTTTCCCTCCTGGTACCCAGTGGAGTCTCCGGCGTCCAGTCTACGGTCTCCGCCAGGCGCCACGTGAGTGGCACGACACACTGAGGACTACGCTTGCGGCACTTGGGTTTGCTCCTTCTACTGCCGACCCGTCGCTGTTTCTGCGCACCGACACCTTTCTGCCGCCGTTCTACATCCTCGTGTACGTCGACGACTTGGTCTTTGCCACAGCGGACACTGCTGGACTCGCTTACGTGAAGTCCGAGCTGCAGAAGAGACACACGTGCACTGACCTGGGTGAACTGCGCAGCTACCTTGGCTTGCAGATCACCCGGGACAGAGCATGCCGCACCATTACCCTGAATCCGTCACACATGGTGCAGCAGGTCCTTCAGCGCTTCGGCTTCACGTACTCCTCGCCTCAGGCCACTCCTCTGCCTACTCGCCACTCGCTCTCAGCTCTGCCTTCGGATGAGTCCGTAGAGTCGAGTGGCCCGTATGCAGAGCTTGTTGGCTGCCTTATGTACCTGATGACCTGCACACGACCTGACCTTGCATACCCTCTCAGCATTCTCGCACGCTATGTTGCTCCTGGGAGACACCGACCAGAGCACATGGCTGCAGCAAAGAGGGTGTTGCGCTACTTGTGCAGTACGTCGGGCATGGGGCTAGTGCTTGGAGGGCGCAATCCATTGGTCCTCACTGGGCACGCAGACGCTTCTTGGGCTGACGACCAGGCTACGCAGCGGTCGTCACAGGGTTACACCTTCAGCCTTGGTTCTGGCTCTGTTTCGTGGCGAGCTACCCGCTTGTCTTCTATTCTCGGCTCTAGTTGTGAGGCTGAGATCTACGCCGGGGCTATGGCTGCTCAGGAGCTTCGCTGGCTCACCTACCTGCTGACCGACCTTGGAGAGCCGCCTCGTTCTCCTCCAGTCCTGTACGTAGACAACAAGGCCATGCTGGCCTTGTGTCGAGAGCAGCGACTGGAGCACAGGACAAAGCACATTGCTCTCCGCTACTTTCTTGCTCGTGAGCTGCAGCAGCGTGGACAGTTGCGACTTGCGTACGTGGCCTCTGAGGCCAACACTGCTGATGTCTTCACCAAGGCACTTGCGCCTTGTGATCATCAGCGTTGCTGCACGCAGCTGGGTCTTGTGTCTGTCTTGCCTCACTTGCTCACTTCTTGACCTTGCTTGTACCTTGACCTTTATATACTCTTGCTCTTGCTTGCCTGACTCTTGTATATCTCTATATATGATCTTGCATGCGAACTGGCCTTGTGGCCCTTGACCTTGCGCTCGGATTGTGTGGTGACTTTGTGATCCACCCTGAGCTTTGCTTTGCTTTGCTTGACTGGTCTTGTGACCCCTTGTTCTCCCCCACTTTGCCTATGGGGGTGTGTCAGAACATTATAGCTTACTTATTTGTGTAGGCTATAGTGGGGTATCCCATAGGGGGTACAACCCAATTAGGGTTTCATATTTGTTCTCACTTCATTCATAGTTCATCCATTCTCGTTCGCTTCTTCTCAAGGGTCTCACGGCCGCGCTGCTGCTGCTGGCGCGAACCACCACCGGAGCCACTCCTGTGCGCAGAGCCGCGACCAGCTCCACCGCCACCTTTGCCGCCTCCGCCGCCTCCGCCGCCTCCTCCACCACCGCCGCCTCCGCTCCCTCCTCCACCGCCACCGCCTCCTCCGCCTCCATTGCTTCCACCGACACCTCCGGCCCCGCCACCACTCCCACCACAACCCCCACCCCCTCCACTGCCTCCACCACCACCTCCACCGCCCCCACTAGCCCCTCCAGCGCCCTTGCCACCCTTGCCCTTGCCTATGCGGCGCTTCCCCGAAGGGGTAGACGCAGCGCCGAATGACTCGAAACCAACGAGGTCGGCTGCAGCAGCAGAACCAACAGAGGGCAAGAGGGGGGAGGGAGAACACCCCTCAAAGACGGGGTTGCGAGGGTCACCACGGGAGGCTCCTACAACGACTATGCTCTTCTCTACTTCTAGGAGGCGCTCCTCGAGGAGGCCAACGGTGAGTGTGGTAGGGCAAACCGAGAGGAAGTGGTCCCTGACTAAGCGAAGGGAGTCAGGGAGTCGGGTGACTATGTAGTAGAGGGTAATGAACATGGGGGGGGGGGTTCTTGGCACAGAACTCAGCGGGAAGCGCAGCGCGGTAGCGAGTGTCACTAGTGCGAAGGTGCGTAATGAGGTCAGCGACAGTGGGAAAGGCAGGAAGGTCAGGGAACAAGTACGGTAGCATGAGGCAGCTAAGTGCAGTAGTGGCAGGGGAAGAGTAGCGTTCAACTACAGCGTCGTACAAGGTCTTAGCACTCTTGTACTGGCTAAAGTGCGCACGCTCAGTGGTTGGTAAGTGGCGACGCACAGCAAGGCGTGCAGCAGCATCGCGCGTGGCCCACTGTGAGCGAACAATGCTGTCAGCAGTAGCAGGCGGGGCAGGAGAGACACCAGAGGTGAGATCGAACAGTGAGAGTCTGTCCGCCCTATCGCACTGTAAGAACAGCTGGAGGTCATCGACCCAGACCTCAAAGTCAACAGCACGACCCTCACTATCAAAGGTAAGGACACTGGGGGTAGCCATGACTGTAGTGGCCTATCAGGGAGGGAGCTCACCAGTCTAAGGAAGTAGGGCCGGGGTGCGCCGGAAGGAAGAGCGGCTCGGCTGGTGGGCGGCTCGGCGGCTCGGCTGCTGGGCGGCTCGGCGGCTCGGCTGCTCGGCTGCTCGGCTGCTCGGCGGCTTGGTTGCTGGGCGGCTCGGTGGCTCGGCTGCTGGGCGGCTTGGCGGCGCGGCGGGTGGGCGGCTTGGCGGTGCGGCGGGTGGGCGGCTCGGCGGCTCTACTGCTGGGCGCCTCGGCTGCTGGACTGCTGGCGGCGTGAAAGGGGCCGCGAGGGTCGGCGTCGGGGCCGGTAGGGTGGCGGCATGGCCGCTGAGGGCGGCGACAGGGCCGGTAGGGTCGGCGACGGGGCCGGTAGGGAGGCGGCGGGGTAACTGAGGGCGGCGACAGGGCCGCGAGGGTTGGCAACGGGGCCGGTAGGGAGGCGACGGGGCCGCTGAGGGCGGCGACAGGGCCGCGAGGGTCGGCAACGGGGCCGAGAGGGTCGGCGATGGGGCCGCTGAGGGCGGGGACGGGGCCGGTAGGGTCGGCGACGAGGCCGCTGAGGGCGGCGACGGGGCTGGCAAGGTCGGCGACGGGGCCGGCGAGGGCGGCGACGGGGGCGATAGGGCGGCGACGGGGCCGCAGGAGCCGGCGACGGGGCCGCAAGGGCGGCAACAGGGCCGCAAGGGTCGGCGACGGGGCCGACAGGGCGGCGACCGGGCCGCAAGGGGTCGGCGACGGGGCCGACAGGGCGGCGACGGGGCCGCTTCGGGCGGCAACGGGACCGCAAGGGTCGGCGACGGGGCCTGTAGGGCGGCGACGGGGCCGCTTAGGGGGGCTACGGGGCCGCTAGGACGGCGACGGGGCCGTGGGAGGGGCCAAGAGGGGCCGTGAAAGGGGGGCCGCTAGGGGCCTGAGGAGGGCGCGACGGGCCGCTAGGGCTAGGGACGCGAAGGTAGATAGGGCACACGAGGCGCGACCTGGGCAGAAGCGAAGCGCGCTCCGGGCAGAAAAAAAAAAATTCGTGGTGGGCCCTAGGAAACGCTCCCACTAGGGAACCTGCTCTATACCATGTGAAGAAACTGGGAAGGAATGATTGCATTGAGCAGCATGAGGAGTACAAGTAGGAAACCCTAAAGTGTTGTACCCCATATTGACTACCCCACTACAGCCTAAACAGACTATAGCATATAAGTTCGACATTAACCGGCTTGGACTTTGTCGCCGATGCGATCGTCCGCAGAGCAACTGCTTCTGTCACAGATGTAGTCGATTTCGGGGAGCAGGGGCGGAGGTCAGTGCAGAGGACTCGGCCGGTATAGCATGCTCAACCGAGCACATCTCCTGCAGTGGAAACAAGCAGCATCTCGTCACCCTCATTCTGCAGCTTCACGCCGGTTTCCTTCAGCTGACCAGCCGACAACAGATTCGCCTGCACGCCCGAGACGTACAACACGTCAGGGATCAGAATCTCCTTTCCGGTCTCCCCTTTCAGAGCAGTAGTGCCACGACCTTCGACATTCTGAAGCGGCCCGTTGAATCCGCGCACATGACGGATTTCACCTCTTCGCTTCATGTCAACGAAGGCCTCTCGCGTTCCCATCAGATGATGAGAGCAGCCGCTGTCGAGAAGCACCACGCTCGGATTTGCCTGCACCGCTGCAGCAACCGCCTCGAAGTCTTCTCCAGCCTCCGGCGCCAGCGAAATAGTTGGCTCAACCGCTCCAACCTGAGAAGAAGCGAACGAGAATGGATGAACTATGAATGAAGTGAGTACAAATATGAAACCCTAATTGGGTTGTACCCCTTATGGGATACCCCACTATAGCCTACACAAATAAGTAAGCTATAATGTTCTGACACACCCCCATAGGCAAAGTGGGGGAGAACAAGGGGTCACAAGACCAGTCAAGCAAAGCAAAGCAAAGCTCTGGGTGGATCACAAAGTCACCACACAATCCGAGAGCAAGGTCAAGGGCCACAAGGCCAATTCGCATGCAAGATCATATATAGAGATATACAAGAGTCAGGCAAGCAAGAGCAAGAGTATATATAGGTCAAGGTACAAGCAAGGTCAAGAAGTGAGCAAGTGAGGCAAGACAGGCACAAGACCCAGCTGCGTGCAGCAACGCTGATGATCACAAGGCGCAAGTGCCTTGGTGAACACATCAGCAGTGTTGGCCTCAGAGGCCACGTACGCAAGTCGCAACTGTCCACGCTGCTGCAGCTCACGAGCAAGAAAGTAGCGGAGAGCAATGTGCTTTGTCCTGTGCTCCAGTCGCTGCTCTCGACACAAGGCCAGCATGGCCTTGTTGTCTACGTACAGGACTGGAGGAGAACGAGGCGGCTCTCCAAGGTCGGTCAGCAGGTAGGTGAGCCAGCGAAGCTCCTGAGCAGCCATAGCCCCGGCGTAGATCTCAGCCTCACAACTGGAGCCGAGAACAGAAGACGAGCGAGTAGCCCGCCACGAAACAGAGCCGGACCAAGGCCGAAGGTGTAACCCTGTGACGACCGCTGCGTAGCCTGGTCGTCAGCCCAAGAAGCGTCCGCGTGCCCAGTGAGGACCACTGGACTGCGCCTTCCAAGCACTAGCCCCATGCCCGACGTACTGCACAAGTAGCGCAACACCCTCTTCGCTGCAGCCATGTGCTCTGGTCGGTGTCTCCCAGGAGCAACATAGCGTGCGAGAATGCTGAGAGGGTATGCAAGGTCAGGTCGTGTGCAGGTCATCAGGTACATGAGGCAGCCAACAAGCTCTGCATACGGGCCACTCGACTCTACGGACTCATCCGAAGGCAGAGCTGAGAGCGAGTGGCGAGTAGGCAGAGGAGTGGCCTGAGGCGAGGAGTACGTGAAGCCGAAGCGCTGAAGGACCTGCTGCACCATGTGTGACTGAGTCAGGGTAATGGTGCGGCGTGCTCTGTCCCGGGTGATCTGCAAGCCAAGGTAGCTGCGCAGTTCACCCAGGTCTGTGCACGTGTGTCTCTTCTGCAGCTCGGACTTCACGTAGGCGAGTCCAGCAGTGTCAGCTGTGGCAAAGACCAAGTCGTCGACGTACACGAGGATGTAGAACGGCGGCAGAGAGGTGTCGGTGCGCAGAAACAGCGACGGGTCGGCAGTAGAAGGAGCAAACCCAAGTGCCGCAAGCGTAGTCCTCAGTGTGTCGTGCCACTCACGTGGCGCCTGGCGGAGACCGTAGACTGGACACCGGAGACTCCACTGGGTACCAGGAGGGAAAGACCCAGTGAAGCCAGGTGGGCGACGCAGCCAGATCTCCTCGTGCAGGCTGCCCTGCAAGAAAGCTGTGCTGAAGTCGAGAGAGTGCAGCTCGTAGTCACGGTGAGCAGCAACGTGCAGCAGTACCCGAAGAGTGGTCATCTTCGGGGTGGGGGAGAAGGTCTGAAAGTAGTCAACCCCCTGCCGCTGACTGAAGCCACGAGCCACGTAACGCGCCTTAAAGACAGGCGGAGAACCCGGCGGCCGCTTCACCCTGAAAATCCACATGCCACTGACGATGTTCGCCCCAGGAGGGGGAACAGCGTCGACGTAGGTGCTTGTGGACTTCCAGGAAGCCATCTCTGCATCCATAGCTGCCTGCCACTGAGAGGAGTAGGGACCCTCTATCGCCTCCGCGTAAGAGCGCGGAGTCGGGATGTCTAGTGCATCCGGGTCTCCCTTAGGGGCTAGCAGTACAGACGCAAGATGAGGTGAAGCGGCGGCCAGACACTGGAACTCCTCCTGCCTGTCCTCAAGGACGTCCGTGCCAAGGGCACACTCACCCCCGACGGACGGAGGACACGCAGACTCAGACTCAGCGATAAGACTAGCAGCGTAGTCTAGACAACAGCGCGCAGCAAAGTCGACGAGCTCAGTGACAAGGGCAGACGCAGCATAAGACTCGAAAGAAGGGTCAGTGACAGCAGTAGCAAGAAGACGCGTGACAGTAGGACTGGCAGCACGAAGAGAGTCCGACTCCTGGTCGGCAAGAGCAGGAAGAGAGGAAGCAGGAGGAGAAGGCAAAGGGGCACGCAGAGGAGCAGTAGACGGACGCAGAGACATCCGGTGCGTGCCAGGGACAGGAGGAGGACGCTGACGCGAACCACGACCACTAGTGCGCACAGTACGAACAGGCGACACAGGACGAGACGCAGGCTCACGACGCTCAGTAAGACCTCCAGTCGGACCAGCGTAGGGAGAAGGAGCAGGCAAAGGTGAGGTAGGCTGTAGCTGTGACTGTGACGAGACAGGCTGTGGACCCTCTAAGGGAGGAGGAGGAGGACCAGGAGAAGGTGTAAGACCAAGAACCTGCTGCAGGAGCGGAACGAAGTACGGCCGGGGCCGCGCGGCAACGCCTGAAACAGCAGGGACAGCACCAGTACCCCCAGAAGGAGTACCCGCTCCAGCAGCACCTCCAGTAGCTCCAGAACCTCCAGCAGCACCACGAGGAGCACCACCAGTCGGACCTCCAGCGGCAGTCTCAGCGTCAACACCCTCAGCAGCACCAGCTCCAGGAGAACCCTCAGACCCAGCAGCTCCAGCACCCACAGTACGAGCACCACCGAGACGCTCGGCAGCAGTACCCTCTGCAGTCGAAGAACCTCCAGCACCAGCAGCACGCCTCCAGCGCCTGGCAAACCACTCACGTAGCTCCTGAGGGGAGAGTGGCTCTCGGCGAGACGTAGCACCTCCAGGCGGAGCACCCCCAGTCTCAGCACCTCCAGGCTCAGCACCCCCAGGCTCAGTACCCCCAGGCTCAGTACCCCCAGGCACAGCACCCCCAGGCTCAGCACCTCCAGGCTCAGCACCCCCAGGCTCAGCACCCCCAGGCTCAGCACCCCCAGGCTCAGCACCTCCAGACTTCGCACCCCCAGGCTCAGTACCCGCAGGCGTAGCACCTCCAGTCTCAGCACCCCCAGGCTCAGCTCCCGCAGCAGCACCAGAGTCACCAGTGACCTCGACAGGCTCGACCGCGTCTACCTGGGAC